ATTTTGTCACAGTTGCATGGTTTGTTTTGGGCTTGTTTTGCTTTCTGATTTTGTTTTGTTTTGTTTTTTTGTTTTTTTCCCCAAGACTTAATGTTACAGTGAGCTATCTTCATCAATGAGAAAAAAATAAAACTGATATTTAAAACTGTGTTTTAGAAATGTATTGCCCTCATCCTTTTATTAGCGCTGCTTAGAGACAAAGTAGTTGGACTTACAGTTCAGTCTTTATTTCCAAGGCCAGGTCCTATGGAGATGTTAATGAACAGGAAAGTGGACAAAGATAGGCTGTCTGACTGGGTCTGGAGGAGGTCTGGCAAGCCCACATCCTGAAGGAATCAGCCAGCAGGTACCAACATCTCTATACTCAAGTTTGTCGAGGTGGAGGCTGTTCACCTTACCAATCTTTAAAGGTTTCCACACAGGATTTAAGGGTTAGATTGAAGAGAAAGCATTCGTGGCGGATGTGAAGGTTCAGACTTTGGCACATAAGGAACAATTTAGAACAGTGTTTTCTGAACTCCTCCCAACCCCTTTTACAATTTTGCCAAAACCACATACTACTATTTAGTTGATATTTTATTTAAATATATATTTTTAAAGGACGCTTTGGACAGAGGAACATGTTAAATGATACCATGGGAATGCACAGCAAACTCCAGACTCTGAAACAATGAGACAAGTAACCCAATTTCTTCAATAAACAAATTGCAAATAAAAGAGAGGGGAACCTATAGATTAAAAGAGGCTTAAGATACATCAGCCAAATAAATGTGACTCTATTTCTGATTTGAAAAAAACTAAAAGTTTATATGATACTGAAATAAAAGAAAATATATATATTGGTCTCTTCCCAGTCCTGGCACAGAGCTCCTAAAACCCTTGGGATTTGCATTTCTGATTTGAAAAAACAAAAGTTGATGAGATAATCATGGAAATTTGAACAAGAATTTTGTCAATTTTGTTGAATGTGATAATGTATTTGGTCTTTTTTTCAAGATTACTGCATACTAAAATTGTTTACTGATAAAATTGGGGAGGGGACTTTAGAGCACATCATATTATTTGTAAAAAAAAAAGAAAAGAAAAAAAAAGATTTACAATAAAGAAGTATTGGTATATGTCCAAGTAAACTATCTTTGGAAACACTGGCTTTGGAAAACTTAAAATCAAAACCAGTGTGAAAAAAATCCAATGTGATGGGCTGATTGGTGAGTTTCGTGAAGCTGAGCTTGGCCAAATGTTGATTGAAGCGGCATTAGACACCAGGTAAAGGCACACTTACAAAATAGCCAATTAGGAAAACAAATGAAATCCTAAACTAGAAATATGTCTCTAAAGCTGGAGAGCAAAGGGTAGTTGTTTGAAAACGAAGCTTATAACTCAAAAGCAAATAACTTCTCAGGGTGCAACTTAATTGACTGGGGCCTGGCCTGTCCTCCACATAAAAGGAGGCCGATTTTGGCTCAGTAGAAGGAAGCATTATCCAACAATTAGAGCTGTCTAACAATGGAGTAGGTTTCTATGGGAGACAGTGCTCTTTCAAACAGGTTTAACTGGCAAAAGAGTCCGGTGTTGGACTAGAGTGGATGAGCTGACCTGGCCTTCCTTGAATCCGCAAATGGGACCATCAAGAGCAGTGGAAACTATAAAGATTTTTCTCTACTGATCACACCTCTACAGACTGGCATAAACGGTTCCTAATGTCCAGTAGAAAGAAAGTGAGGCATCTGTGGCCTTAATTGTGTTGGCTGCTGCTTTAAACATCTTGAAAATTCTAACTGCCACCTCCAATGAGGAATGCATCTCACATCTAGAACTAATATATTGTGTGTCGACTATACGTCAATAAAAAAATGCATCTCATGCTGGGAACTGAAAGCAAATACTTGCTGTTTAGCAGAATTTCCCCAAGTTATAGATCCTTTTTAGGTATTAAGGGTAGCTGAGACAGTAACAATGGTTACTGTGTTCTCCAGACTGTCCAAATTATTTACATTATATGTACATGCAGACACAGATATTGATTATGCCTTACTTTTAGGAACTGCTGTTCTAATCTAAGGCAACCAATTCCCCCCCCCCCACTATATTTGTGTATCTATATACACATATATATATTTCACATACCACAAAATTCACCCTTTTATTTTATTTTATTTTTTTTTTTTTTTTTTTTTTTTTTTTTAAAGGTTTTTTTCACCATCTTAGCTGTAGAGGGCAGTGTCACTGACCCCATGTGGGATCCGAACCGGGGCCCTGCTGCTCAGAGCTGGCGTCCCAAGCCAGCTCTTATGCAACGTGCCACTCGGCCGGCCCCAAAATTCCTTCTTTTGATATCAATCTATTTTTCTGTCCATAGTCATGGTAGCTGCTTTTCATGACCTTGTTTTGAAAAGAGATTTGAAAAATCCATGAGAAATCATTGCAATTACTCGTTAAAGATTCAGGCTGAGCCTTTAGAGGTTCCAACAGGGAAATTGTGGTTCCTTCTGGTCAGGACAGCTGATAACAGGCAGCTTGAGCAATTGGCTGATAGACTTTTTCCAAAGAAAGTGACAAAACAGCAGCTCAGATGGCTGGAATGGGTAAGGATAAGGAAGTCAAGTAAAACTTAATAAAGACATGATGAGATTGAAGGTATTTTGTTCCCATGAAAGTATGCATGCGTCATGTTAAGCATAAAATGTGGGAGAGTGGTGAGCGAAGGCTGAAATGATGTGAAGAGGGTAAAATGATTGCCTTTAAGTGTGTGTGCAAGTGTGCCTGCCTGTAATACAAATGTGTGTGTTTGCCCTTAGTGGAAATCGCCACATTGACCAGAGAAAGTGGAAAGACGGTCATCAGAGTTCTCAAACAAAAGGAAGTGGAACAGCTGATCAAAAAACATGAGGAAGAAGAAGCTAAGGCTGAGCGTGAGAAGAAAGAGAAAGAACAAAAAGCAAAGGATAAATAGAAGACAAAATCAGGAATTCTGTAACTCACTTGGGGCACCATTTCAGTGTAACAGCAAGCTATCCTCATCCACATTGAGAAAGCGTTGACTTTTTTTAGCTTGTGTAGTGGGAAAATAGGACGGTGCCAACTGAACTGGTTCCTCTATTTCTGTCCAGTTGAGTATTGTAATGATGATTCCTCTTCGTGGACATCTTAGTCCCTTCACCCCCACCCCCTTTTGGGAATAAAATTTGGAAAAAATGGAAATGGTGAAGGAAAACTTCTCTGGAGTAATTGTAAAAGACCCCGGGACTAAGAGGTCTGTGAACTTCTCTTGTGCTTTAGTATGCTATGGCAGCCCTTGCAGGTACTTTTACGTAAGATTCAAAGAGACAGAAATGTGAGCATCATAAAAGGAGAAAGATGGGAATTGTGCCTTGAAGGTTTTCTTTGTGGTCGTTCCCCTACCATCTTGGGGAACCACAGCTCTGGGCGTCTGCAGGTATGTCGACTGAGGCCCATTCAGTTACAGGAGAGTCCCATTCCTCTCCTAGCTGTTGCCAGCTTTTGGTATTGATGGACAGTCCTACTGGACTTAAAGTCACGTGTGTGCATGTGCACATACATGTGTACACATAAATAACGATAGTACAACCTGAGAGGCACAATGAAAGTGAGCCCTTTGGACCTACTACTCAGCCTCAGAAACAAATTGATCAGTACTTTTGAAGCCTGTGTGTCCCTTTCAGATCTCATCTCTTTTCCCCCTCGACTCCCCAAGAGATAACCCCTACGGAGTTTATTTTTCCTCCTAGCTACAGTTGTTACCTTCTGACTTTCCACCCCTCTACTCCAGGTGAGCACATCTCTCAGGTTGGCCAGGTGACCCGTCTCTGTCTCCAGGGGCTGGTTTGAGAAGGAACCTGTGGGCTGAGCCAAGCCAGAATGGTGTGGACCCTGCAGGTAGGACAGGCCCACGGCAGACAGCGAAGCCCCGCGAAGGTGCTGTGCAGGAGAGATTAAGGCCAGAGGAGAAGTGGAAGCAGAGATGCAAGGGGTTCACTTGGCTGAAGGGCACTCCACTGTGCCCAGCCAGGGTTTGTTAAGGTCCTCAGGGCCATGCCCCAACCTGCAGCATCACCTGGGATTTGCTAGCAGTGCAGTTTCTGGCGTCCCTTCCAGACTTCCTGCATGCAAATCTCGGAGTAGAATCCAGCCATCTGTCGTAACAAGCTCTGCATGCATTTCTGATAACGCACTACAGTTTGAGACGTGCTTTGCTGTGTTAGAACCTTCCTCATACCCAGACCGGTGCTGCCAATTAAATCAGCTAATGGGGGAGGGGTGGCGGGGACCAACCCCTGGTGTTAGCATTTCTTTAACTGCCCAGGTGACAGACAGGGATGCTAGCCCGGGCCCTGAGCCATCGCTGACCCTTCCAGCCTAGTCCCTCCCTCAGGTGCCAGAGGAGAAGCAGGGCCTGGCGGTTTTCTGCACAGGCAGACACTTGGGGTGTCCGCTAAGGTATTTCCAAACCCCTTTGACAGTGCTTTTGGAATCTGCTGCATTTTTCTCTTACTCGGGTTTGTACATTTGATTCTGGTTATTCGTGGTAGCTGTGTTCTGTTCTATAAAGTCACCAGGAACACTGAATGAGCAACTGCTGAAAACCATTGTTCCAGGGGACATACCCGGTGTGGTTCCTTTGAGCCTCAGGTCATACCACCAGCCGATCAATACATAACCTTGTTTTATGTGTGTTTCTGTTTAAAGGCATCTGAATATACATTGGTAGTTCATGAATATCGAACTAATGGCCAAGAGCTTTGTGTAGCCTAACAAACTTCTCTGACACGTGTTTTCTCTGTAGGGCACATCACAGCCTTGCACTGTGCTTAGGGGGCATTTTAAAAAGCTAGATCACCACAAAAAGCACAAAAATGCAGAAAACATGTCACAGAATAGACCAAAGAAGAACACTACAAAGGCAGACGTGAACATGATGAAGTGCTCTTAAAGTTTCCTGCCATCTTGTTGTTTCGGCCAGAGACCAGGTAGACTAATTGTTGGTGGGAAAGAACGCTGTAAATAAGACTGCATGTTGCACAGGGAGTAAAACCATGTCAAACACTTTTTTAAAATTTCCAGTTATTGTACAGTTATATTCTGTGCATTGTCCGTCGTCTTAGTCAAACTTTCTATTGGAGCACTTTTTGGGTTTTTTTTTTTTACAGATTTTTATTGGGGAATTGGGGGAAGGGGAACAGACAAGTTGCTGTCGTTTTGTTCTTCAGTCTAGTTGTGGAGGACGTTGCTNCAGGGGCTGCAGCCTATGCCGTCGCTGGCAACTCCTGGCAGCCCAGCTCCAAGTTGAGCTGTTATTCAGCATCTTAGCTGTAGAGGGCAGTGTCACTGGTCCTCATATGTGGGATCCGAACCGGGGCACTCTGGCATCCCAAGCCAGTTCTTAACCAACGCGCCACTTGGCCAGCCCTAGAAACATTTTTTATAGTTGCTAAGCTGTTCTCCCTTATTGTACTTGGAAGTAATTGTGGTCACCAGGTTGATACCATGCAACATGGAAGAGTGGGTCTCCCGTTTGTAACCTGCCAGGGTCTCCATTGATTTTCTTGGACCACTGGTGCAAGCGCCCAGCGGAGAGTCTTGGTTTCTCACTGCTGTGTTTTGCAGGTCGCTTGTACCAAGTTGAATATGCAATGGAGGCGATTGGACATGCAGGAACCTGTTTGGGAATCTTAGCAAACGATGGTGTTTTGCTCGCAGCAGAGAGACGCAACATCCACAAGCTTCTGGATGAAGTCTTTTTTTCTGAAAAAATTTATAAGCTCAATGAGTAAGTGATTTCTTAGGGGGGAGAGTTTAAAATGTCACACATGCTGTGTCACATAAAGTGGGTCTTACATTTTGGGAGGGCTGTTCCATGTGACATAGTAGAATTGTAGTGAATAGTTTATTGTGTTTTTACTGGTGGGAATTTTTGCTTGTAATTTATTTTGCTTGAACCTCCTTGAGGCTTAGGACCATGAGTTGGTCCTTTTAAGTGCAGGGCCAGGCACCTAGTGGAGAAGCTACATTTTGTGGTGATAAGATTATAGGCTCGGAAGTCACAGATCTGGGTTAAACCTAGGCTGTACTGGTACAAGCTGTGTGACCTTCAACGGTTTGACTTCTCTGGGCTTCAGAGCCTACTAGAGTGGCTGAGGCAGTTTAATGAAATAGAATGAATGAAATCAACCAGCAGAGTGTCTGGCATGTAGCAGGCCCTTAAAGTGTTTCTCAGAATGGCTACGTGAGAGTTTCGTTGAATTACGCTGAATCTTACTTCCTGGAGGTCTGGGAACAGTTTAGATGAGCCCTGTTAGTTTCGGAGAGTTGGGTGTGAGGACTTTGTAGCTAGTGGAGAGCTGGATTTGCCCATTAGAGACTCCCTTCAGTGGTGGGCCAGGTGAAGGTTGGTATAAGTCCCTCGCCCTGGGAAGTCGCATCCTTCCAGGGTCCCTGCTGGGCCCACTCAGCAGTTTGCAGGCTTGACAAGGCCTAGTGACGGCTGTAGGGAGCCAGGGCAACCCTCAGGAAATGGGGGCAAAGGAAGGCAATGCACCCTACGTGTGAACCCAGCCCTGGGACCCCCACCTTCACCCCTCTAGGTCTGAGGAGGTGAGAGTACTTACTACTCAAGAGCATGGGACAGTCTGTCTTCCTGTCTGGCAAAACCTTCTTTGTTGCTGAGTCATCTCGGGATATCCTTTAACTTCTTAGTGCCCGTTCTCTTGTGCTGATCACAGTGTGGTGACGTTAAATACATCCATCGAAGAACAAGGGGTGCACTTGTTTATCTTGCATGTGTAGTGACAGGCTTAAAGCCTCTTCCAGAGATTAATTTGTGTAGTTGTATGAAGGGTGTAGCAGGTCTGAAGTAAGCACAGTACGTTTCTAACAGAACTTGGTACTTTGGGAAACTGTGAGGCCCCTGGCAGGCATCGTCCCTGCTTACATGCTGATGCACTTCTTTTCCTCCAGGGACATGGCTTGCAGTGTGGCGGGCATAACTTCTGATGCTAACGTGCTGACGAATGAACTGCGGCTCATTGCCCAGAGGTATGCTCTTAAATAGCACTGCCGATGTTTCCAAGGAGAACTCATTTTTGCAAAGATTAAAGCCATTAAAAATCTATTCGTTGAAAATGACAGTGTTTTTTTGTTTTTTGTTTTTTTTAACCAAACTTGTGAAGTGTTATTTACCATAAGAATATTAGGATGTTGCTCCCCCCTTTCAAATTGCAAGTGACTATTATGTTGTCCCCATGGCATAGGTTTCTTTGCAGAGGGTATTTTGCTTAGAGTATGTGTGTTTTAGAGAGAACTATTAATATGCCCCTCTCTGTCCCCTAGGTACTTACTACAGTATCAGGAGCCAATTCCCTGTGAGCAGTTGGTTACCGCACTGTGTGATATCAAACAAGCTTATACACAGTTTGGAGGTACTGGACTTTGCAAATTTTATTCCAGAAAGTTAAAACATTTTATGGGTATTGATGTTTTTGATACGGTAAAAAGAAATGGAAAATTAGATAAGGGAGCACTTTTCATACATTCCTGCTTCATGAAGTAACTGGCTCAGTGATTATCATGTGTGTTATTAATAGACTATTGAAAGGCCAAAATAACATTTCAAATCTGTAAACACATTGCTTTGTACATAATAATGGAATTCTGCACTGGCCCTCTGTATCTTTGTTTTCTTTTTCTTTTTTTTAATTAAAAAAAAATTTTTTTTTAGCTGAGCCATCCTGCCACCTGTCGGCAGCTCAGCGGCAGCTCAGCTCAGGCAGGACTCGAGCCCCTCTGTGTCTTTATTCCGTCTGCTGGCTGTGTCTAAATCCTAGAAACAAAAGTGGGCATTTTGATGGAGCTTATCTGCGGAGGCCAGAACACAAAGCAGTTTATGAAAACTTAGCTTTATAAAAAGCTTAGTAATTCCCTTCACTGAGCACCCGTAACTGCCGCAGTACCAAATTTAGATTGTTGATGCATGTGACTTTTTCTTTGTTAAAGGGAAACGTCCCTTTGGTGTCTCACTGCTGTATATTGGCTGGGATAAGCACTATGGCTTTCAGCTCTACCAGAGTGACCCGAGCGGAAATTACGGGGGATGGAAAGCCACATGCATTGGCAATAATAGCGCTGTGAGTATTGTGTTGCTGTGAGAGCTAGTACAGGTGTCATGACTATCATAATTTTGAAATAGTGCCAAATGTCATCAGTATTGTGAGGTAGCTACAACAACTTTAATATCTGCAATTGCTGTTGATGGCGAAGTTGCAGCTTCTGCTCATAAATATTACTGGGGGTTATTGCCTGCCTTTATGATGAAAGGAAATGCTAGTTTCCAATCTGAAGTTGTGAAAATAAGGTATAATTTTTTTCATGTCCTGGTTTGCAGACCCACTGATTTCTGTCAAGGATCCTTGAGGTCCAAGCCCCAGGTTGAAGACTCTATTCATGGTGTCAGCAACCTCTCCCATTCCACGTTTACCCTCCCCGCTGTTACAGTTGTTTGCATTGATTACGTGCCAATAATAATCTAGGCATTATTCTTCTGCCCAGTCCATAGTCCTTAAAGATGTAAAAATTTAAAGCAGTTCTCTCTCTTGATTTTTTTCACATTTCATAGGCAGCTGTGTCAATGTTAAAACAAGACTACAAAGAAGGAGAAATGACTCTGAAGTCAGCACTTGCTTTAGCTGTCAAAGTCCTCAATAAGACCATGGATGTTAGCAAACTTTCTGCTGAAAAAGGTAACTTGTGCCCCTCCTCGAGTTCGTTCACTTTCATGAGGGGATCGATGGAGCGACTCCTATGTTAGGCCTGTAACATGTAAGCACAGATCACTGAAACCACAGCTTTATGAGCTAGGTGGCCTTTTACTGTTCCCTAATAGTGGATGTTACTTGACCACAGTCAGCACTGTTAAGTTGTGGAGCCATAGTCCACACTGCATTCCAGGCTCAAGGGCCTGAGTGTCCTGAATGTCATGGTTGTAAACCTTGGCCGAGCTGCTTTCATTAACTGTCTTACTGACTTGTAGATGATGGTTTCTGTGCCCATGTGCACGTGATGGAGCGCGTGTGTGTGGCTACTTGTATGGTGAACTTTTATCACGTGTAACGTTTGCAGGTGTTGTGGTACTTCTGCTCTTCTGAATCTACTGATGTCATATGTGAAGCCCATGTTTGCAACTTCAAATGCTTCCTTTAGCTTCAGTTCTATCATGATATAAAACAATATTTCTAAGTAACGTTTTTCAAAAATTATAAGTTAGCATGTTGATTTAGTTTAGGATAACTTCGCACCTGGCACTCCTTCGAAAATGCCATTTACTTGTAAATTGCTGTTGGCTACACTTCTGCCTAATTTCAAATTCTTCTCAATTTCTACTCAAAAAATTCCTTCTCCTTTTTTTTTTTTTTTAAATTTTATTGGGGAATTGGGGGAGGGGAACAGACAGGTTGCTGTCGTTTTATTCTTCAGTCGAGTTATGGAGGACGTTGCTTCACTGGCCCATGTTGGTATTATCACTGTGCTCTTCCCGGGTGAGGCAGATCAGTCACCGGCCTCTAGATGGCCGCTCATGGTGGCTCTTGGCAGCTCACACCGTCTGCCAGACGCTCATGCTGGCTGCCAGCCACACACGGTAGCTTATGGCAACCCACTGCAGCAGGGGCTGCAGCCTACGCCATCGCCGGCGACTCACGGCAGCCCAGCTCCAGGTCGAGCTGT